AAAGGATTGTAAAAAAATAAACAAAAAACTAAGAATAATATGAAATAGAGACCCTTTGTGGCTCACGAGGCCTGAAATATTTCCTACATGGTCTCTTATAGAAAAAGTTGCCCACTGATGGCTTAAATATCTCTGCACAGCAGCACCTTCTCTCACCTCCCGCCTGGCTCTCTCAACTGACGGAGTGCATCCCACGTCTACAGTCCCTGCAGGTGCGGCCACCAGCATCCTCCCATCTGAACTCTTACCCACAGACTTTTATTCCTTGGGGCAGGATCTCAGAAGCAACCAACCTACCACTGATTCCTGGCAACTTGGTTTTTGCATGATGATGTTTCTGTCCAAACATAGAAAAGTGCATGGAGTGGTTGTAGCTGCAGGGGGTGGTTGTAGCTTCAGAGGTTGGTTGTACTGGAGAATTGAAGGCAGGGTGCTGGAAAAAGGGGATCTCACAGATTGGCAGCTATCAGTAGGAGGGATGACCGTCTCATTTTCAGGTTACCATGAACCCTGGTTATCTGTGTTAAGGGTCAGCAATGGGGGATACAACAGGTCTTCTTATTTCATTTTTTTTTTGGTAAAAAGGATTCCGTTGCAAAAAAAGTCACAAAATCACTAACTGAAGGTTTAAGGTAACAGACTAACATCATGATCTATTTATACATTAAGTCAAAAAACATAATCATTTAAAAAAAAACCCACATAATCATTAATGTTACCTGTAGTCATGTACTATTTTTCTTGCATTCTCTAGCTGTTCGTTTGTTAACAGAATATTTCTAGGATCAGTTACAGTGAAGAAGTGATTGGCCCGTCCAACAAAAGTGCTTTGATCCCATCGAGGCTCCTTGATGTTAATGTTTGGTGGCAGTTCTCCAGACATCGTCCTGGACTACAGAGAGTGAAAAAGACAAGTCCATGTAAGGCTTACCATACCACTACATATTTAGAAACTTGACAGTCACGCTAAATCTTCAAGTAAGGATTTATATACTCTCCCTATTTATAAAAATAATTTTGCTATAAATGGCAGAAAGACAATCTAAATCCAAAGCTAACTCTGTCCATAAATCTCAATGGACCTTAACCAAATTTCAATAGTTTCCCACATATTTCTTTATAAGTACATAGTATTTTGTCACTTAATTGTTGGAAACCTAAAATTACTCTAGAGGAAATAGAAATATAAAAAGTTTTAAAATCACATCAACAGTAACAGGGTCTGAAGTTTAAACCCTCTTTTCTAAGTGAAATAATCAATGTCAAACTACTACTGCACTGCAGTCTACTGAATTTATTATTCCTACCAGTAGAATTGACTACTGATGCAAAACAGGCTTAAATGCTAAAAATTATACAATTAAAAAAAGATTCAGATTCATGTTGGCTTGTTTAGCACATAAACCACCAATCAAAAATTAAAAATTATGTTTTTCATTCTACCAGGAACACAGTGGGAAAAACACATTCTGACAGTCCCATGAATAAGAAGAACATTGTAACACATAATTATCCTTGTAAAATTTGTTTTCTTGCCAAGAACCATTACTTTTTTCCAAAAGTAATTAATTTCTTTCTCTGAAAAATACATGCTTATTTTAGAATTGTATTTATAATAGATGCTTACTGTAGTACTCTGAAAATTACAAGCTTATCATAGAAAATGAAGAATAAAGAAACAAAATCTCCCATAATACAGCCACTCTGAAATAATCATTGCTAATGTTTTGGTACATTTCCTTGCAGACATTTTCTATACATATTACCATATAATTTTTAAAAAGTTGATATCATACAGTATATTTTAATATACTGATTTTTTTTTTTTTTTTGCATTTCTTTCATGAGCATCCCCCATGGCACTAAATATTCATTTTGGATGTATAACAACACCTTTAAATATTTATGTTATTTTCAGTTTTTCACCATTATATATAATGCTGTATCTTTGTCTATGAATCTTTTCCCTCATAGCTGGTGATTCTCTTAGACCAGATCTCTCTCACGATATTAGCAAGCCAAAGGATCTAACCACTATTAAGCCTCCAAACCATTGCTTTCTTTTTTCTTTTTTCTTTTTCCTTTTTAAAATCTTTAAGCTGACACTAATCAAAAGAAACCATTGCTTTCTTATATCTGTTCCCTTTCCTACATTTCTAACACCAGTTCTAATCGTAGCTTTCTTTTCCAAGTCATTTTTTATTAAGTAATGTTTTCAGTGCTTCACAAGTTCTTAGGTACATTAAGATATCAGATGCAAATGCTAGGCACTCTTATAATGTGAACTTTATCAAAATCTCCAATTACTACATATCACGGACCACTGGAATAAAATTGAGCATGTTAGGTACAGATGTAAGGAACCTAGTGTATGTGAAACAGCTAGCAGTGAAAGTGAGAAAGTAAAAATTAGCCCTGCTATTCATAAAGCAGGCTGGGACAACAGACACGATAAAGCCAGCTGCAAAGTTAATGGAAACCACACTTCTTCAAAGGTCATAATGCAGCTGTAAAGCGTCATAACAATTCCCTTTTTTGAGAGACCACTGCTTTTTTTAAAAAAACTTAACATTTACTTTTACATATTTGTGGGGTACAATGTGTTGTTTCAGTGCATGCATATCCTGCACAATGATTCACTTAGGGTAGAGAGCATAGCTTTGTACTGGATAGTCTACCACTTCTCCCTTCTTCCCTTTCCCCTCCCAGCTGCTGGTAACCATTATTCTACTCTCTACTTCCATGAGGACCACTTTTTTTTTTTTTGGTGGGGGCGTCCACATATAAGTGAGATCATGTGATGTTTGTCTTTCTGTGCCTCACTTACTTCACTTAACCTGATGGTTTCCAGTTCCATTCATGTTGCTCAAATGGTATGATATCATTTCTTTTTATAGCTGAATATTATTCCACTGTGTATATATACCACAGGTTTCTTTGTTTGTTTGCTTTTTTAATCCATCATCTGTTGATGGGCATTTAGGTTGATTCCATCTC